TTAACAAGGTTGGGTGGGTAATATAGAGCACTTACACCAAGCTCATAAAAAAAAAAATAAACGCATAAACATAACTAAAAATGTAACACCTGGCTAGGTTACCACAAAAATTCTCTTGTAATTTCGTTAGCTAGTTTTGATTAAAGATCCCCCAATCCGACGAAGTCCTAGCCGAAAACGCCCCAGTGATAACCGCTCTCAAATCAAAATCTAGTTAAAAGGCAACTCCTGTTGCCACGAGAATCATTGCACATATAAATTAAAATAAATATTATACAAAATAAAAGGTTTAACAGCATACTAAATTTAGAAATGGTTCCACTGATTAGTTAAAAATTATACCATCATTGAATATTGAAACACCATCAAAAACTTGAGGCAATACAAAAAGTCTATGTGGCCTCTAACCCACAAAATATATGTAAAAATGTAAAATATATATAATATACTGCAGTAATGACCAATTGAATTCCCCCACATCAAAGGAAAAAACCATCTAATTCGCCAAATCCCTCAAGTTTTTCCTATAGCATAGACAACCACTAGGTCAACCACGACAACAAAACATAACTACTTAAATTTTAATGGAAATTAGAAAGTACGACACCAAAAACTACAATCCGATAAAAGCAACAAAGATCGCAGCTAAAATACCAGAAACATTTCTATTCACCAATATTTTTGTAAAGAGAGTATGAACAAAAAAAATATAAAACCCCAAGTATTTTTTAAAGGAACAACAAGCAAAAGCTGCGAGAAAGAATTAAAACATACATAAATAAATAAGCTGCAAGCCACTGTAGCTAAACCCAGGGAGTTTCCCACCCCCTGACCACGGCTGGACATAACTTATATGTAAGCCTGGCAACTCCGCGGAGAAAGCCATTTGATGCAAGGTTTGTATGACTTTCTTTTATTGTTATACCCTTGCAGAGGGTATTATAATTTCAGTCAAAAGTTTGCAACGCAGTGAAGGAGACATTTCCGACCCTATAAAGTATATATATTCTTGATCAGCATCACCAGGAGAGTCGATCTAGCCATGTCCGTCTGTCCGTCTGTCCGTCCGTCTGTCCGTCCGTCTGTCCGTCCGTCTGTCCGTCTGTCCGTCTGTCCGTCTGTCCGTCCGTTTCTACGCAAACTAGTCCCTCAGTTTTAAAGCTATCTGCTTGAAACTTTCGCAAAACTTGTCTTTCTATTGCAGGTAGTATATAAGTCGGAACGAGCCGGATCGGGCGACTATATCATATAGCTGCCATATAACTGAACGATCGGAAAAGTCATAACTTTGGTGTTTTTAAAGATAAGAAGTTGGGACTCTCTATGGGTATTATATTTGGCCAATCAATCCGACGTACCAAATTTCATAAGGATCGGCCGACTATATCCTATAGCTGCCATATAACTGATTTATCGGAAATGCCATAACTTTGGTGTTTGTAAAGTTAGAAAGTTGGGATTTTCTATGGGTTTTATATTTGGCCAATCAATCCGACCTACCAAATTTCATAAGGATCGGCCGACTATATCCTATAGCTGCCATATAACTGAACGATTGGAAATGCCATAATTTTGGTGTTTGTAAAGTTAGAAAGTTAAGATTTTCTACAGGTTTTATATTTGGCCAATCAATCCGACCTACCAAATTTCATAAGGATCGGCCGACTATATCTTATAGCTGCCATATAACTGAACGATTGAAAATGCCATAACTTTGGTGTTTTTAAAGTTAGGAAGTTTGGATTTTTTATGAGTATTAAGAATTTTTTTGTTCTTCAGGATTTGTTAATATTTAAATACTATGGAATTACGGTTTTCATTTTATTAAAATCGGATGACAGTATCATATAGCTCCCATAGGAACAATCGGAACAATTATATGAAATAAATGAGAAAAAAATTATTACTTCGATGTTTAATAATTTAAATAAATATACTTCAAGATATAGTAAATCTTGAATATTTTAGATTTACGTTTTAATTTTTATTGAAATCGGACAATAATATCATATAGCTTTCATAGAAATGACCGAAAACTTGAGAGTAAAATCGACCTAGCTTCATTGTTATATCAGGCGATTCGAATACATCTTCCGTCAGTTCGTAACTATAACTTTGTCGTTTCCTAAAATATTTCCATATACTCCAAGATATAGTAAATTTTAGCAATCTCAGAATAATAGTTTTAATTTTATAAAAATTTTAAGACTATATCATATAGATGTCTTAGAATGATCATTAAATAACAGGCAAATCAACACAGCTTAAGCGTTTTGAAACATTTACTGACATTTTTGGAGAAATCATATGTTTTAAGATTGTATACAAATCATATAGATCTTGCAAATAAGATTGGCATACTGACATAATCTTTTCCTTTCAACATATTCCCAGATTTCAGATTCAGTTATTATTATTTTTTTTATTTTAAATATACAAAACATCTGTCATCTATTTTACAAAGGTCTTTTTTTTATGTATTAAAGTTTGATACCCCACGACTGGTTAAGGGTTTCTCTGATAGTTTTATTTTATATTTATTTGTAACCCTACATACTAAAACTTTTACAAATATTGCCGAACACTATGCAGGTTATTACGCCCCTACAGAAAGTCACCTTAATTTACTTTTACATTTATGAATCAAGGGCAGGTATATACAACCCGATAGTTTGATTTCATATTGCAACCCAGTCTACCTAGACTTTTCCAATTCTTGATTTACATCATACAGGTCAAATGGTAAGGTAACTGATTCACTAATGTACACGTACACAATCCTTTAATTGCATAATCAAAGTAGTTACCTGCACCTTTCTGCACTACGGGATTCTTCGTGAGAAAAAGGGTTGACCTTTGTGCTGTCAACAGGTAAAATACCAGCCTTTATATTGACACGTATGCCTAATCCATGGATTAGTCTGTAAATAACAGTCGCCGTATAACAACCTGTTTCTGTGAAGCCTATATTACTTGTATTGTGTACTTTTTGTTATTCAAAAGTGAAAAATTAAATTAAAAAGTGATTTAAAGTGATATCTCCTACAATTGATAATTGGTAAGTTTCCGTTAATTTGTTAAAACTGTCCGAATTTTCTGTCTCCCTTTGCTGTTTTAATACACATTATATTTTCCACAATTTTCCACAATTAAATAATAACAATTGCAGTATTTTGTCTATCTATCAGAAAATTATAAAATTATGTATGTATCAACCGTAAACCAAATACGGGGCATAGTACATAAATTTATCATTTTATCACAATTTCAAAATTCCCTGAATTTAAAATTTTTTAATAACAAACACGTATAATCCCTTTAAATTTTTATTTTTACGATTTTTTAAACAGCAAAAAAAAAGAGAATGCCACGCGTATCTTCTTTATCTCAGGAACAACGCCGCCAAGCCGCACTGAGGCGCAGCCGAGCCCAATATCGTCAAAATGCACCGCAGATAAGGACCCGGAATGCCTTACATATTGCCGAGACCCGCGCAAGTAATTTGGAACTAGCTGAGGACGCACGCACGCGAAATACGGCAGCACGCCTTGTCAGAAGGCGAAGTGATCGAGTTCGAGCTAGGGAACGCGCACTGAACACTGCTAATCGCGCTACCTGGAGGGCCGATGAAGAAAATCGCAGGCCAGAGCGGGAACAGGACGCTATAGCTCACGCTCAGGCCAGAGCTAACTCCGAGGAGCGCCGACGACAGCAGTCGCAAAATACTGCTAATCGCGCTACCTGGAGGGCCGATGAAGAAAATCGCAGGCCAGAGCGGGAACAGGACGCTATAGCTCACGCTCAGGCCAGAGCTAACTCCGAGGAGCGCCGACGACAGCAGTCGCAAAATACTGCTAATCGCGCTACCTGGAGGGCCGATGAAGAAAATCGCAGGCCAGAGCGGGAACAGGACGCTATAGCTCACGCTCAGGCCAGAGCTAACTCCGAGGAGCGCCGACGACAGCAGTCGCAAAATACTGCTAATCGCGCTACCTGGAGGGCCGAAGAAGAAAATCGCAGGCCAGAGCGGGAACAGGACGCTATAGCTCACGCTCAGGCCAGAGCTAACTCCGAGGAGCGCCGACGACAGCAGTCGCAAAATACTGCTAATCGCGCTACCTGGAGGGCCAATGAAGAAAATCGCAGGCCAGAGCGGGAACAGGACGCTATAGCTCACGCTCAGGCCAGAGCTAACTCCGAGGAACGTCGACGACAGCAGGACCGAAACACTGCAGCGCACGCGTTAGCCAGGGCAAACTCCGAGGAGCGCCGACGACAGCAGTCGCAAAATACTGCTAATCGCGCTACCTGGAGGGCCGATGAAGAAAATCGCAGGCCAGAGCGGGAACAGGACGCTATAGCTCACGCTCAGGCCAGAGCTAACTCCGAGGAACGTCGACGACAGCAGGACCGAAACACTGCAGCGCACGCGTTAGCCAGGGCAAACTCCGAGGAGCGCCGACGACAGCAGTCGCAAAATACTGCTAATCGCGCTACCTGGAGGGCCGATGAAGAAAATCGCAGGCCAGAGCGGGAACAGGACGCTATAGCTCACGCTCAGGCCAGAGCTAACTCCGAGGAACGTCAACGACAGCAGGACCGAAACACTGCAGCGCACGCGTTAGCCAGGGCAAACTCCGAGGAGCGCCGACGACAGCAGTCCCAAAATACTGCTCATCGCGCTACCTGGAGGGCGGAAGAAGAAAATCGCAGGCCAGAGCGAGAACAGGACGCTATAGCGCACGCTCTTGCCAGGGCAAACTCCGAGGAGCGCCGACGACAGCAGTCACAAAATACTGCTAATCGCGCTACCTGGAGGGCCGTTGAAGAAAATCGCAGACCAGAGCGCGTAAGGGACGCTGATGCTCACAGGATCGTTAGGAATAACCCCATAACTCGTGCGCATCAGCAGCACTATAACACATTGCGTAGCCGGGAGACACGCCTACAGCGGAGGCTTCGAGAGCAACAAATTCAGGAAATGGCCGCGGAAAGATTAATCACATATAGGAGCAGTACCCAAAATCGTCAGGCGGAATCTTTAAGGCAGTCGCAGCGAAATATTGCTGCTAGAGCTGAACTTTCCGCAGATGAAAGGGAGGATCAACGGGAATTACAGCGCCGGAGGAGCCGAAACACTGCGCGGGAACAATATCTTCGAAACATTAAGGACGGACCAACAAAAATATGTACATGCTGTGGAGGAACATGGTTTTCATCCCAGGTAAGTGGTTTGAATCAATTTCTTATATCTTCTAAGTTCCCCAATATGAACGTAGGCAACTCATTTTATTTAAGTAGGAAATTTCCGAGTCCGTCCGGTATATATCTATTCTGCAGTACATGCCGTCAAGCTGTTTCCAAAGGCAGACTACCATCTCTTTGTCTTTCCAATGGCTTAGACTTTCCAGAAATTCCGGAGTGCCTTAAAAACTTAACGTGTCTGGAAGAGCGCCTTATTTCTCCTCGAATTCCGTTTATGCGCATTATCTCCTTAGGATATGAAAGGCAATGCGGAATAAGAGGAGCGGTGGTAAATGTTCCTATTTCTGTCCCAGACACTGTAAGTGCGCTTCCCCGATCGTTTAATTCCACACATGTAATCCAAGTTCACCTTAAAAGGAAACTGGAATACTCCCATAATTTTATGACAGAAACTATTCGACCAGCTCGGGTCCTTGAAGCTGTACGGTATTTAGTTAACACTGAACTGTACAGAAAACACAATATCATATTTGATAATGACTGGCTTAACCAAGTTGGCGATAGGGAAGAATTACCTTTTATCGCAGATGAATCTGATCGAGAAGAAGTTGAACAACTATTGCGACAACAGCTTTATTCTCAACAAATCGATCAACAAGAAGAAGAGCTAAATCCAGGCGGTCATGAAACTTTATTAGAAAATAACAATACTGAGCTCGAACGTATTGCTTTGGCCCCTGGGGAAGGCCGCCGTCCAACAAACCTAACCCTAGATGAAGATGCGGAAGAACTTTCGTTCCCAACTATATCTTGCGGTGAAATATTTAAGGCCAATGTGACCTATGCAAAGAAAGCTAGATCACAGATTCGTTTCTACGACCGTCGTTGTGCAGTGGTACCTAAAGTCCTTTATATGTACAAGTTTTATGAGATGCAGCGAATTCAAAACACAATTTCCATCGCCCTACGAAAAAAGTCAGGTGCGGTAACTGCTGCAAATATAAGGGATGAATCATTTGTTGACAGACTTGTACAGCATGACGACGGGTATCATATTCTTAAAGGTCTACGTTCCGCCCCAGCTCATTGGGAGGCTGAAAAAAAAAAAGTTATTGCCATGATAAGACAATTTGGGTTGCCTACATTTTTCATAACTCTTTCCGCTGCTGAATCTAGATGGAATGAGCTGTTAGTTATTATTTCTCTTTTGGTGGATGGCAAAAATATAAATGAGGACGAAGCGGCAGCTCTTTCGAGTACCGAAAAAGCTCGCTTAATCCGATCTGACCCAGTAACATGCTCCCGTTACTTTGACTACAGGCTCCGACAATTGCTGAAAGTTTTCAAAAGTTCTGAGATATTTGGCGAATATACCCTAGTCCACTATTATTGGAGGATCGAGTTTCAGCACAGGGGATCGCCACACTCTCATGGCATGTACTGGCTTTCTGAAGCTCCAAGGCTGGACGGAGCAGAGAATTGCGATCAAGTTATACGTTTTGTTGATCGGTTTATTACTACTAGCGGAGAAGATCCTGAATTGCAAGAATTTATTCAATACCAGCGCCATAAGCACAGCTCTTCATGTTTAAGAGAGCTGCGTGGCCAGGAATTCTGCCGCTTCAATATGCCATACCCTCCAATGCCTGAAACATTGGTGTTATATCCATTAGAAGAAAACGAAACCAATGTTGAACATTCTAAAGAATTGTTTAAAAAAATTAAAGAGCTTTTAAAGTCTAGTTCCGATGAAGAAGCAGGCACTTTTAATAATTTTAACCTTTTCCTGACCCACCTTGATACTACATTTGAAGAATATAAGTTTGCCATTCGCTCCAGCCTAAAAAAACCTCAGATATTTCTTCGTCGCAAATTTTCCGACAGGTTGTTAAATGCTTACAACAAAAATATTTTGGGCTTACATAGAGCAAACATGGATATTCAATTTATCCTAGATGCGTACGCGTGTTGTAGTTATATAGTTAACTACATTAACAAATCCAACCGTGGAGTGTCGCAACTCCTTCGCGAAGCAATGACTGAAATAAGTCACGGAAATATTTCAGTTAAAAGAAAACTGCAGCATCTCGGGAGCAAGTTCATTAACGCTACAGAGATTTCTGCCCAAGAAGCAGCCTACAACATTTTGGGATTACACATGTCAGAGGCTAGCGAAGGAAATATTTTTGTTAACACTTGCCATCCAGATAAAAGAGTGCGGATAGTGCGATCTAATAGGGAAATAGAACAGCTTCCTGAAAACTCCACTGATATCTTTGAGAAAAACTTACTTGATCGGTATGTACAAAGGCATGAACAATTAGAGTCAATATGTCTTGCAGAATTTGCGGCTTGGTACAAATTCGGCAAGTCCAACTCTCGAACAGAAAGGTCCAACGAAGATTATGATGAACCGATCGACTTGGAACCAGATGAGGAAAACGCCATTGCTGAACAATGTTTCGCACTGCTAGATGGGACTGGTAGTGTGAAAAGGCGTAAGCATGCCTTAATTCTTAGATGGGTTCGCTTTAGCTTAAACTCTTCCCCATCTGATTATTTTAGAGAGCATGTAATGCTTTTCTTTCCGTGGAGGAGTGAGGAATCGGAACTTATTTTAAATGACAATGAAAGTACATTCAGAAATAATTTTGAAATAATCAAGGCCAACAAAGAGCAATATGATGTGTTTGATGATATGGAATTGGAGAGGGTTCTTCAAGAATTGCAAAATTTTGATAGAGAACCAAACAGTCATCTTGCTGAGGGGCTTGCCTCCCAATACCTAGATGAAGAGTTTAGAGCCTTGGCAGTACCAAACGTTGGGCAAAACGTAAATGTACTCCAAGATGACATTGAAAATAACCCAGAGGATGGAGAACTTCAACTTATTAGACTTCCTCCTTTGGTATCTGAAGACACACTTTGCTCCCTTACTAGGTCGCTTAACTTTAAGCAACGCCAGTATTACGCCCATGTAATGCATAATGTTGCAGCAAAGAACATTTTTTATGAATATGTTGGTGGAGGTGCTGGAGTCGGAAAAAGTAGGCTGATTTCAACAATATATCAGTCTATAACGTGGCGGGCGAATAAGCTTCCTGGGGCAACTGATTCTGCAAAGGTTTTACTTTGTGCTCCTACTGGAAAAGCTGCTTTTGGGATTGGAGGACTTACGCTTCATTCCGTTTTCTCCCTTCCTGTTAATCAATCTTCGGGTCCGTTAAGACCCTTAAATAATGATTCTTTAAACACTTTGCATTGCAAGTTAATTGACATCCAATTAATTATTATAGATGAAATTTCCATGGTCGGATCGAAAATGCTTGGGTATTTAGATCAAAGACTTCGACAAATTTTTAGAACTCAAGATCTAATTTTTGGTGGAAAATCAATAATAGTGTTTGGAGATCTGAAGCAGCTTAGCCCAGTTGGGGATCGGTGGATATTCCTAGAAAATAGTAATAACCCCTATAACATTCTTGCCGGAGCTAACCTTTGGAATAATTTTAAGTTTTTTGAGTTAACTGAAATAATGAGACAACGGGACGATCACGCGTTTGCTTTGGCATTAAATAATATGTCCGAGGCTAATATGACAGACGCAGATGTAGAGCTTCTTAGGCAAAGAGTTGTTTCAGCCACCGAGGTTGCTGATGACGCAATTCATTTGTTCTGCTCTAATGATGAGGTTACCCATTATAATACCTTTAAGCTTGCCCAAATTCAGACTGAAGAGTTCTTTTCAACTGCCATAGATACTGTTAAATCAGCAAATATGTCAGAAAGCAATAGAGTCAGGACGTTAAGAATGGCCCAAAATATGAAAACCTCAGAAACCCAGGGCTTACCATATATTCTTCAGCTAAAAACAACGGCAAAGTATATGGTTACCGTCAATATAGACACAAATGACGGACTAGTAAATGGTGCAACTGGCCAATTAATGCAAATTGACCATTGCATGGTTAACGGCTCCCATATAGTTACAGGACTGTGGATAAAGTTTTCAGATCCTACGGTTGGGGCCATAGCCAGGTCAAAAGTTCGAAGGAATGATAATCCCGGTTGGACTCCCATTCAGAAAACAGCCCGAGTTTTTCAGTGCGGAAATTCAGGACATTCTTCGATTGATCGTAAGCAATTCCCAGTTGTTCCTGCTGAGGCTATTACCATCCACAAAAGCCAAGGAGCAACCTACAGCAAAGTCGCAGTGCATCTTAAAAGAGGCATTAAGCGAGCTTCGCTTTACGTAGGATGCAGCAGGGCAACATGCGCATCGGGTCTTTTCCTTTTAGGAGACTTTGTTCCTCCAACTAGATTTGGAGCAACAAATGTCCAAGAAGAACTTCAATGTTTAAGAGGGGAAAAGGCTTTGACTACGCAATACGAATTCTTGTTCAATAGAAATGATGCCATCTCATTGTATTACCACAATGTTGAGTCTCTTCGTGCTCATCACGAAGATATTGCCAACGACAAAATTATTTGTTCCGCAAACTTTTTATGTTTTGTTGAAACCTGGACTCTTCCACATGAAGAGTATAATATAAGAGATTTTGACATTATAAGGAGAATAGATAGCAATCGTTTGAATGGTATTGGGAAGAACGGAATACTCATCTATGCTAAGCAGAGTATTTCGCAAAATGTTGTATTTTTGTTCGAAACAACTAAATCAATAAGCCCGATGAGCACCTATCAATCAATTGCATTTAAATTTCTTGACACGTCATTTTTAATTGTATATAGGAGTCCTAGATTTCCTATTACAAGATTTCGAAATGAAATTAAAGCTGACGTCGAAAAAGTACGCAGAATAGATAATAATAAAGTGGTAATATTAGGAGATTTTAATATTTGCAGATACTTAAGAACTGATTCTCTGGAGGCAATTTTAAATGCGTATAACCTTTTGGAACAAACAGCTCTCCAACAACAAAACACCTTACGCAGATTGATTGGATATTTACTGATGCTCGAATTCCGGAAACCCTCGCCCTCATATATGAAACACCATATAGTCATCATGATGGAATTTTCCTCAGTTATAGCTTGTAAAGAAATATAACTATTATATAATAAGCGCACAATTGTAAATAAATAAAATAAATAGATATAATATAAATTGTAAAAAGATAATTGTATATATATTCTAATTGTATTTATCTTTATTATTTAAGCAAATATAGTTTCCCCCTCGTGGATTGAGACCTTGTCGTGGTGTGGGGGCTGAGTACGTGAATTTCGAAATAAATATCACTGAAACTAGCAACAATCCGATAAAATTAAATAGGTTCATTTACTATATATTAACATGATAAAAATATAAGGCCAATTTACGCGATTTGATGGCTGTCATTTTCTTTCTGACCAAATAAATACACTGAATAATTATTATAACTGCAAGGGTATATAAACTTCGGCATGCCGAAGTTTGCTTCCTTTCTTGTTTGAGTATGACATAAGCAATATCACAAAGTCATACACAAACAACAACAGAAATACATGAAATGGCAATGCAATGCCACGCTTACCAATACATACATATGTACATACATACTTGCCGCGGCCAGGGACAACAAGGAATACATATAATTTAAGTTTGATTATTATAACATATGTTTATACCCTTGCAGAGGGTATTATAATTTTGGTCAAAAGTGTGCAACGCAGTGAAGGAGACATCTCCGACCCTATAAAGTATATATATATTCTTGATCAGGATCACCTCCTGAGTTGATATAAGCATGACATGACATTCTCGCATCACAACTTTTGGATGATGAATTTCGTGGATTTGCCATTCCCGAAGTGGAACGGAATCCTAATGTGTTTCAAGAAAACTCTACTGATCCCAGCTCTGATGAAGATGGTCCCAGAGTCTTAAAATTGCCTCCATTAATTCCCGTTGATGACGTTTGTAGTTAAGTGCGATCTCTTAATAGTAAACAACGTCAATATTATGCCCATTTAATGCATAATATGAATCAAAAGAACATTTTTTATGAGTTTATTGGAGGCGGCGCAGGAGTTGGAAAGAGTCGATTAATTTCGACCATTTATCAGTCACTTATGTTAAGATTTAACACCTTGGCTGGAAGTAATCCAGACTCGGCAAATGTTTTACTTTGCGCTCCAACAGGTAAAGCGGCCTTTGGAATAAAAGGACATACATTGCATTCATTGTTTTCATTACCCGTGAACCAGTCTTCTGCTGGATTGAAGCCATTAAGCGCAGATACGTTGATTACTACATATTCAAAACTTATAGATGTAAAATTGATTATAATTGATGAAATATCAATGGTGGGAACTAGAGTGCTATCATATTTGGATTGCCGCTTAAAACCAATGTACAGTAAAAACCAATATTTTGGAGGAATTTCCATAATAGTTTTTGGACACCTTAAACAGCTTCAGCCGGTTGGTGACAAATGGATATTTAAACCCAACACAAGAGACGTATATAGCGCGATTATTGGAACGCCGCTATGGGATTTGATTAAATTTTTTGAATTGACGGAGATAATGCTGTGGCCTTAAATAATATGTCGGAAGGAAATATGACAGATGCCGACATTGCTTTAATAAAGGAGAGAGAGATACATTCCAGATATTGGGAAACAATTCCAAGAGAGGAAATTCGACTATTCTATTCAAACGCAAAAGTAAATGCATATAATAACTTAAGACTGGAGCAAATTGATACACAAGAGTTTATATCAACAGCAAGAGATACAGTAAAAGCATCTTCGGATTCTACAGAAAATAAATTTAGGATTTTGGAAAAAGTTAAGGCATATAAAGCGTCGGATACTCAAGGACTCCCATATTTATTAACCTTAAAAACTTCTGCAAAGTATATGATAACAGTCAATATTGACACCAGTGATGGATTAGTAAATGGAGCAAGTGGTGAACTTAGGCAAATTGAGCAAACACCAAGCGGATCGGTGTCGACTATTGGATCCGAAGCTCGAACAAAAAAAGCAAACAGATCACACCCGGATTGGACTCCTATAGAGCGAATTTTAAGAACATTTCAATTTGGTAATGGTAAGCATACTATGATAGAACGTTTTCAGTTTCCAGTAGTACCTGCTGAAGCCATTACGATACACAAGAGTCAAGGAGCGACATATAGCGAAGTGGTTGTGAATGTGGAAAATCGAATAAGCCGAGCTGCTCTTTACGTTGCCTGCAGCCGAGCAACGAAAGCTTCTTTATATTATTGGAAAATTTTCTCCCCCCAGGAAAATGGAAGAAACAGATTTAGTTTATATTGAGCTAAAGAGTCTCAGAACTGAGAAGAATCTTATACCGTTTCACAAGCAAATCTTCGATAATCCCAAAGATAAAATTAAAGTTTACTATCAAAACATTCAGGGATTACATTTGCGAATGGATGATGTAGAAACGGACATTTTTATAAGGTCAGCGGACATCTTGGGCATTGTCGAAAGTTGGACTCTAAACTCTAAAGTCGCTCAAATCAATGGTATAAAGCAAGGAAATAGAAGGGCTCACAATGGAGTAATTGTTTTTGCAAAGCCACACATTTTCCAAAACATTGAAGTAATTTTTCACCGAAGTATTGAAAGGTTGAGGAATGCACTTGTAGACTGCATAGAGCAGGAGTTGGGCGTAAGAAATCGCATAATCATTTTGGGTGACTTTAATATATGCCGCTCAACTAGTGAAGCCGTAATGGAAAGGTAGCTAAATGAACTAGACTTCGCGGCGCTTTTGGAACGAGTTTCAACAACGAAACAAAACACGAGAATAGATTGGGCATTTTCAAATTTTTCTTTACCAAGAGCTTTCGTGTGTGAGACTCCTTACAGTCATCACGACGGAATTTTTCTCTACTTAGGCTAAATATATAAAAAATATTTAGTAAGTAGAGAAATATTATATGAACAAACCAAATATTATTACTTTACAAGTTATATAAAATATAACTTAAAGTGTGGTGTAGAAATCTAGAACAAGGATTCGGAAACTTTTGAATGCCAATGAAATTATTTTTAATCGACAAACTAGTCAAAAAGGAAATGCAAATTTGCAGTGCACAAGATAACGGGGATGGAATGTATATCTATTCCATTACATCTTTACCTATGTACATATTTAAAAGGTTGAGAAGCATATAATAATATATTTAATATTGGCGTATAAATTTAGAACAAGGAGATGGAACTTTGCGCAATATTAAAGTTAACTGTTAATCAAATTAATATTATTCTACAAGTTATTTGTAACTGTAATATCATTAGAATGTAAGTAAGCTGTTAAGCCAGCTGTAAGTAACAGTAGATTATATTTAATACAAGGTCTTGGAAATTGGCGTACAATGTATTGAAAAACCAACGGAAAGTTCATATGGTGGTATATAAAATAAAGAGGATTAATACTCTTGACCATTTGAATTATGATGAGGGAGTGTGGTGACTCCCGAAACAGTTTTTAGAAATTTGTTCTTTGGCATTTGTATTAAGAAGACTTCGGGTTTATTTTACACATTTGTTATTCTTTTCGCTACTTTTTCAATTTTAGCAAGTTCGGCTAAGTCTGCAAGGGTATTAAAACTTCGGCTTGCCGAAGTTAGCTTCCGTCCTCGTTATTATACCCTTGCAGAGGGTATTATAATTTTGGTCAAAAGTGTGCAACGCAGTGAAGGAGACATCTCCGACCCTATAAAGTATATATATTCTTGATCAGGATCACCTCCTGAGTTGATATAGCCATGTCCGTCTGTCCGTCTGTCTGTCCGTCTGTCTGTCCGTCTGTCTGTTTCTACGCAAACTAGTCTCTCAGTTTTAAAGCTATCGAATTGAAACTTTGCACACACCCTTCTTTCCTTTGCACGCAGTATATATGTCGGAACGGCCGGGATCGGCCGACTATATCCTATAGCTGCCATATAACTGATTGATCGGAAATGCCATAACTTTGGTGTTTGTAAAGTTAGGAAGTTGGGATTTTCTATGGGTTTTATATTTGGCCAATCAATCCGACCTACCAAATTTCATAAGGATCGGGCGACTATATCCTATAGCCGCCATATAACTGATTGATCGGAAATGCCATAACTTTGGTTTTTGTTAAGTTAGGAAGTTGGGATTTTCTATGGGTTTTATTTTTAGTCAATCAATCCGACTTATCAAATTTCATAAGGATCGGCCGACTATATCCTATAGCTGCCATATAACTGAACGATTGGAAATGCCATAACTTTGGTGTTTTTAAAGTT